ACCCAGTTAAGGGAGAGGTAGAATTCTCTCCTGAAATGGGAATGATTTTTTAATGAAGAAGATCAGGAAGTGAGAGACTTGGGCTATCAGAAGCATGCTTTCAATATGCTTATCAGTAATCGGCTCTGATACCACAGGGATGTGTCTGATACAAGAGATGTAAAATGTTGAGAGAAGTCCTACCCTTCTGACCTGCCCTCTGCCAGTGTTGTTATCTGTTTCTACAATGAAGCACTTTATGCCCTGCTTTGCACAGTACACAGTGTCCTGAATCGCACTCCTGCACACCTTCTTCATGAAATTATTTTGGTGGATGACAACAGTGAATTGGCTGACTTGAAGAAGGACTTGGGTGAATATGTTAAAACTCATTTTCCAAAACCCCCAAAATTGGTAAGAAATAAGAAGTGGGAAGGCTTGATTCGAGGAAGGATGATTGGAGCCTCTCATAAACACTGGGAAAGTGCTGGTATTCCTGGACAGTCACTGTGAGGTGAACGAGATGTGGTTACAGCCTCTGCTGACTCCCATCAGAGAAGATCGCAGGACTGTGGTGTGCCCTGTGATTGACATAATCAGTACTGACATGCTTACCTACAGCTCTTCCCCTGTTGTGTGTGGAGGATTTAACTGGGGCCTGTACTTTAAGTGGGATCTTGTTCCTTTGTCAGAACTGGAAGGACCAGAGGGAGCCACTGCTCCAGTCAAGTCACCTACTATGGCTGGAGGCCTCTTTGCCATGTGTCATGAGTACTTTAATGAACTTGGACAATATGATAGACTTCTGATCATTCCCTGCTCCAGGGTGGGACACATTTTCCATATGGATCCATCTTATCCAGGGGTTTGGCTGAAGCCAACAATTCAACAATTGTTATTTCAGGTAACATTCCTGGGGAGCCATTACCAGGACTCTGGATTACTCACAAACCTGGCCTTACATCTAATTAGGCCTAAGAAGCCAGAAAATGTGACTGGAAGATTGCTCATATCCCATTACCAATCTGTCTTTGCTTCTCTGAACAGCAGCAAGAACTTCAGCAGCCAGAAATGAACAATTTATCAATCAGAGAGTCAAGTTTGACAGAAACTAATGTCTTGGTAAATTGTACAGACCTTTCTTAAAAGGATCAATCCGTTATGCTCTTACAATTTTTAATGAAGTGTAGCTGACTTATTTCTTTTTCCATAATTTCCTTTACTTTCACCTCCATAGGTCATTGCACCAGCCCCCTTCATTATGCAGCTTATATTACTACTTATATGTACGAGGCTGATGTCTGAGATCGGGATATGACAACCAACCAACCTAGTTGTTGGAAACCTCCACAGAAATCAAAGAAGCTTTCCGCAGCACAATTATTCTGGACTATCAGAAAATTTAAGGACCATTCTCTCTCTCTGTGTTAAGCAACATTCCTAAGCCTTTTCATATTTAAAAGAAAAAGGCTAGTATACAAATGGTTCATTATTCTGTGAAATGCAGCCAGCCTATACACAGCAAGCAACTGGGTAGAATACCCACAGATTGACTTTAGATGATGAAGAGTTAACTGTTGTTAAACCAACTGATATGCTAACAAGAGACACCAACACAAATAGCTCTGTGATTACCACTAGTTAACCTGCACAACATCAAAGCTGAGAACTGTAGTGGTACACTCCCTTGATATATTGTGTTTAGGTTGATCCAGCATATTAATGCTAAATGCAAGCTCTATCTCCTTAAAAACAGAACAATCCACTCTACCTACCTTCTTTTACAGAACCTGAAAAATAGGCTTATTAAAATTCTTCATCTATTTTCTTCAGCATTTAAATTGAGCCAAAAAGCCCATGATAATATTTCTAAAACTTGTGAAGGCAGTAGGATAGAACTAACATATTCGCATGCCTGAACTCAGGTTTAAGTACTTGAACTCAAATCACACATCTTCAAATCCCTAATGGCCACACTGATAGCATCAATTATCTAAAAGGTTGCATCCAATGAAACACAGCTTTCTGACATTTTCGTGGTACATGATATTACATTCACATTAGGAGAACTCTGGTTCTGCAACAAATATTGATATGTGTACAAGAAATGATTTGGAGTGCTATGATTTGGAGCATCCCGTCTTCTATAATAAATAGAGAATATTTTCCAGCATCATCTTTACTCAAAGCTCTTTTTTTTTTCCCCCTCTTTTTTTTAGGTATGGTTTAATCTTATCTCTGAAGTTAGTTAACAGAGCATAAAATACCTCACAGCACACTCTGGTAAAGAAATCTCAACAAACAGGGAAAGAGATCACCAGTAAGACACACTTTGTAACACTGTAGTCTGTCACTGTATTTCATAGAAAAATGCTCAAGAGCATTATTTTTCTTAATGTGTTGTAGTCTAAAAATGAACCCTCAAGGGTTTCTATTGCTCTTCTTGTTGCCAGAGCAACAAAGCAATACTCACCTGAATATCTGCCAGTGTAAGTATCAATTTACAAGCTAAGATGAAGTTTGTGCTGCTAGCAGATGTTGCTAACAGCATTTTTACTGTAAGCCAAATCTTAGTGGCAAGGGATGCCACAAAAACTCAACAATATATTACTATTTCATTTGTGCTACTTCATTATTGCTCCTATAATTCAAGTGTTTCTATTAAAATGTCTTGACCAATGACATTCAAAATGAAAAGGTAAAACTGAAAGGCTTTTACATGAAATCTAGCACACTAAAAAGACTTTGTTAAGCAACTCAGAAGAAATCTCACTTGTCATTAGAAAGCATACTAGGAACCTTTCCCAATAAATTCCTTCCTAAAACTCTTGTGTGGTAAGGAGACAGGAGCAGCTGGGGAGAGGGGAGCAACTAAAAAGCATTTTAAGAGCATACAAGTGTTAGTATTTCTGAACTGAAAAAGGGCTCATTGTTTGCCACTATATCGATCAAAACATTCATACTGTGTTTCTGTTTGAAACAGGTGACAGAAGCATTACTTATATTACCATACTGTACAAGAAGGAATACAACTTTGAAATTATTTGTTATGTGTAAAACCAAACCCAGAATGACCTTATGGGAACTGAATCACAGAACTGGAAACATCACACTCTATCTTCTCAGAGCAAAGTCTATTGCTTTAAGAAAAAATCAAGGGAACTTCATGTTATAACATGTACTAAAAAATCCAATTATAAGACATTAAGAAAGAGATGTAAGGAAAATGGAATACAGAGAAAACACCTAAGCTGTATAGTTTTTTACATTCTTCATAATTCATGATTTTTCTTCTCTTAAAAACTAAGAGGCAGAGGAAGAGGCAAACTCAACATTTCCTCCTCTTTCCAACTCCTAATTGAAAGAGAAATAATTTTCAGATGTTGGATCACAACACCAATTATTTTACTCTATTCAGCCAAGCAATCTGAAAGTGCAAGAATTAAAAAGGAAAGAAAAACCACAGGCACTTCCATTTATGAAGTGAAATACACAAGTTAGTTTAAAAAAAACAACAGTGCTTTATTTTCACACACATTACGTGCACCTCTGTAGAAGCACCATTCCTGGAAAAAAAATATCTTTGCTTATTCCATGCAGAGTCAGATGCAGAGGCAGTGTGAATCAGAACGCTATATGAAGGGACTATAGGCAGAAAATTTTCTAGGCGAGAGATTGGGAGATTCAGAGCTAAGCTTCCTTTTTTTTCTCCTTGTTTCCCACACAGATATGCAAACTGCTCTGCTATTGAAATGCAAAGGATTTTTTTTTTTCCTTTTATGTATTTTTTTTTAAATCAGGTAACTAATACTTATCACCAGACTCCTCATTGTTTATCTTTCAAACCCACTATGCCAGTGTTAGAGAAAAGCCACAGAGGTCCTGCAATGCTCACTGACTAGATACAAGAAAAATTGTCCCATCTGCAAAGAAAAATACCATGTTCTGACCTCAGCATTAAGATCTGCACTTGCACAATGGAGGTCTGGTCAAATATATTCTTCTCTGCTCTCTCCCACTATTGTTTGCAGTCTTACCACATGTTTGTTTTCATCCAGTCAGTACACACACTTTTCATTTGATTGACACACCGGTGAAGCTGAACTAAACACCTCCAACTGCTGTTCAAGTTGAAAAACAAGCCAGCATTAAGACTTTCACTTCACAATCTGTCCATGAAGACAGATACTTTTCCCTTTAACTTCCAGGTTGCTGAACTCAGCCAAAGGAAAAAAGGATTGTCTATCTTATTTTGTTGTTTTCTTTTTGTTACATGCTCACTAAACATACCAAAAAACATGGCAGAGCATGGACCTTAGCTTTATCATCTGTCCATATATATGCAGACCAGCCTTTTCTAAGTATCAGTCATCCTCAACTCAAAAAAACCCAACAAAAAAAACCCACAAAACCCCATAGTAGGGGGAAAACTGAAAGGTTTTTTTTTTGTGCACCAAAGTGGAAAGCATTGAAGTATTAATTTTTATAAAATCCACTACTTTGAAGCTAAGGAGTTGCATTTGGTTGTATAGAGCGCCTTGTGCTTCAAGACGAGTTCTAAGCCACATGCTTACCAGTGGTAGCATCCTTGTAAATTAAGAGAGGTAGTCTTGTTTTACGCTAAGGCTGAACAAGTTCCCAGTTTTCACCTCCTCAAACTATTTTGCAGTGACACTCAGGAAGAGCAACCCTCTCACATGGCAGCAGCGATCTTGAGGAAAATACATTTTTTCTTGATCTCACTTGCTTTTCTCTGCTGCTTAAGTCTGACCTTTCTCCCTCCCCCACACCATAAGCACAGTTTCAAAATGAACTGATGTAAACAGAAAGCAGTATTGATTTAATACAATTAATATGAAAGGTTATTAAGTATTTTTTTTTCCTCTTTTTCTACAGTCAGGGCTTGATTAGTTAGAAAATACTGACAGCTCCTTTTTTTGTGAAAGGGGGATGGACAATTTTGTTCAAACAGTGGAAGAACATCAAGGTGTCAGTGTGGTGTGGTTTTGGGTTTTTTTTTCCCCCATTTAACAGAAGGTACTATTGAGAGCATAAAGGCTCATTGTACTGCAGTAGAAAATCCAGTACCATAGCACTTAAGAGGTGGTTAACAGTGCTTTGGTTCAGAATCAGTGTTAGAAAATAAAGCTTAAAAAGTTATGATGCAGGATATTTGGCGGGATTTCAACAACAATTTGTAATGAACGTAGAAAGGACTGAGGCATTGGCTTCTTCCCCTTGGCAAAGTACTTCATTCTTCATTCTGTTTAAGTCCCGGGTTTCATGATCAAGTTTCTCATTTCCATCGATGACGCACTAAGGAGGATTCGTCATTGACCATGTCATTGTCAGTGTAGCGATGCTGACACCGTGGTGGAATAAGCAGTAGAATGATCAGTATAAGGAGGATAATTCCACATAGGCTCATGAGAGCATAGGAGGCAATCCACAACACTGGTTCATGGAAAGAAACACTAGAAACACAGTTGCTTGCAACATCTGCTGTTGTGAAAGGGCCTTCAATCTCAGATACTGGAGACCCATCAACTTCTGCAAAATTACAAAAAGAAAACCATTAAGTCTATAGACACCATTTAAAAGCAAATAACAAAAGATCTAGCCTAAATGCCTATATAGCCCTTTCCCTCCACCATCATACATCTCAGCATACTCATGTTTTATTGTATTTCTCATTGCAATAAAAATGCTAGTATCCTATGTTTATAAAATGGGAAGCTGAAGCCTAAGGAGACCATGACACTCCCACATCTACATAGGCTGTCAATGAGGGACCAGACATTTAAATCAGGTCTCCCAGAGCCCAAGTTAAGGCCCAAGCCACTGGACCACCTTTTCTCTCTGGACTAACCTTTCAGAAATGTCGATTTAACAAAGCTTAAAAATCCTACACCACCTACACTGGAGTAGGTCAGTGCCTGGGCAGTTTTTGTTTGTTTCTGACATTCACAACAACTGGAAGAGTATCTCTGATGATTCTTACATCTTCTGTGTTTGCTATCTTCCAGGGTCTTAGGAAGCAGCATGCAGGTTCACTAGTTTCACAGATACCTTAAAGATTGTATCCAAAACACAAGGTACATGGTGGAAAGCAACACAGATACTCTTTTTGAGCAGAGGTGAAAATTCAGAAGGATGGGTAGGTGAGGCAGGAGAGCTGGGTGGCAGCTGCCCAGAAAAGTGAAATGGTGGAGAGGAATGTCAATGTCAGGAGCGAGGAGTTGGGACATGAAGGAGCAGTGATGTTGGGCAAGGAGGGAGACGCTAACAAAGCAGCTTGAAAAATGGAGATGACAAAGCTAAGGCTGGAAGCATGAAAGGGTGACTTGGCAGCTCCCTTTTCGAACACCCATCCATCTCTGTAACGTCACAGACTGTGTGACTTGTTTCATTACCATCACAAACCCCTACTTGTTAAACCAGTATTTGCTAAAAAGGGTTATGCTGCCCATGGTTGTCACAGTAACCATGGCAAGTGCAGCAAAGTTCCCCTGAGTTGTGGACAGGGCTACGTGTATTGTAAAAGCAGAGAAAGTGAGTTGCCTAGGGCAACAACATATCTAGAGCATTTTGTATCTGCAGGTGCGTGGCAGGGGAAGGATGGATACCTTTTAGCTTGCTTGGGGCAACTAGGAGCCTGCAGTTAGTACTGTCTGTGCATTTTAACAAGTCTTCCAAACAGCTGTAATTCACTTCTCTAGTCAGGAACTTCAAGACACATTTGTGTATTTCTTATAAAGGCCTCAGTTTTAAGCTTCCTGTTTAATTTTTTGTTCATTTTATACACAGACACACACTTGCCAAATTGTAAGCGATCCTGCCTACTGAAAACAGTTTCTCTTATTTACACGTATCTTAGGCACGACTCCTGAAAGCATGTTTAAAGAGATTAGCATAAAATACCCTTTGGAAGGAAGAGAGAAGCTTGGGTTTCAGTTAAACCACAACAGGCAGGGAAGTGGCCTCTAATGTTCTTTGTGGAGAAACAAATGCAGAATAGGTGGGTTGCTTTATCTGCAATTTATTGCGAGACATTTTAGTTGGTATTCAGTCCCTGGACTCCCAACATCTCATATTATTTTAAAATTTAAGTCTCATTAGACTTAATTCAACCTTATCATGGCCTGCTGCTGAAAGAGAGAGTCCTGCTCACCCTTACTCCTGTCGCTCGCTTCCTATTTTGTATTGGTGCTAGTGACTGGTAGGCTGCAAGGAAACTCACTGGTCTGATTGAAAATGAACCTGTTGTAACGAACAAAATGCCCAAACAAGGAATTTTCTGTAGGATCACTCAACTGAACCAACCCTGTCTCCAGCTGCAAGTGTGGGAAGGCTCCTTTAGCAGCAATATGCTGTTAGAATGGTCTGGGTGAAACCTGAGGCTGCATCCATAAGCATCCTAACACTGGTGAATACCAAACACGCACATGTACTCTCTCAACTCATCAGATGGTAATAAACTGGCCTGTGCATCCTATATCATCAACATATCTTTGGTAAGACGCTGCGGTTACATAGACACGGTAAGGCAGCTGCACAGTAGTGGATAGACTTGTAAAAAACTATCTAAGAAGGTCTGTGAAAACAAACTACGCCGCATTCAATACTAATGTGAAATGCAAAGCGTAAGTATTACTACTTAGGAATTTAGTATTTTGAAGAAGTGTGGGGAAAAAAAAAGCAGCACAATTTTCCACCTTGGAGACAGCTTTGAAAATAAACAGTTCCTAATTACTCATTATTTGGCCTGAGTAAAATAATGACTCCTATTAAAAAAAGCAATACAAAACTGTTGCCATAGTGGCTGTCATTTTCAATTGCATTTTGAGAATGCTTGATAGCAGCACAGCCTCTGCTTTCTTCCCTCCAAAAAGAAGTTTTCCCTCACCCTCTTCCACCTCCAGAGATACTGAGAGGAAATCAAAAGAGGGGAAATTTGCTTAAATTGTTCAAACAAGCCCTTAACATAAACTAAGTCACACACACTTAGTATATTAATCATTAGCTGAATTAGGATATTTTAGCATATTTTTATTAGAACATCTGGTGGTAGCTACCTACAATAAGTTCTTGACCCTGAATAAATGGGATTTCCTTCATCATTTATGATTACAGAACAAAAATGGCACCTCTGGGAAAATGCTGTTTTATAACATGTGTCGAACTCCAACACACTCACTCACCATCTTGAGTGGTTTGGAAAGGAAGTAAACCTGATATTAGATCAAACTTATCAAATTGTAAAGAAATGCTTGGAAGGGGCCCCTGGAAGTCACTTAGTCCAGCCTCCTACTCTGAGTAGGACTGTCACCACAAACAGATCAGGTCAGTTGCAGCTTTATCTAGCCAGGTCTTGTAAAACCGTGAGGATGGAGACCCCATGATCCCCCTGGACAGCCTGTTTCAGTGCTGTACCACCTTGCTGGTGAAGAAGAAATTCCCCCTGTCCAACTTGAACCTTCCTGGATATAACTGGTGGATGTTGCCCTTTGTTATGTATGTTTCATTTGCACGCACTCTTGGCTTGCATTCAATTTGGTTCCTCTCATAATCCCCAGCTCTTTTTCTACAGGGCTGCTATTCAGCTGGTCCCTTCACAGACTGTACCCATGCATGGTGGTTTTCTGCTTGAGGTGCAGAACTCTGCATTTCTGTTCCCTGAAACTGAGGTTTCTGCTGCACAGTCCTCCAGGTTTCCAAGGTTCTTTCAGACTGAAGCTCTGCTATTCATCATGCCATCCATTCTCCTGAGTTTAGTGCCCACAAATTTGGGTGCATTCTGTCTCATCACAGTTTAGTGTATAAGTCATTAATGATTATAGTGTTCAGTGCATTTCTTGCCTAAAAAATACTCATCTTGCTCCTATCATCTTCTCACTTACTACAGAAATACTAGGGGTCTCATTCTGCTCAATGTAAAGGTAACATTATGTTGCTTCACTAATACTAACTAGTTGATCTGAACATCTTATCTCAAGGACATGATTCAAAACCTTTTCTAGTCATCCTGTAAACAGTAGGTTATCCCTGAAATTATCAACTTGAAAATTCCAACTTGAAACAATTTGCAATTAGTAACAGGCAGAGTAAGTCTTAAAGGGTTTTCACATGTTGAGGAAAAAGCAAATTTCTTTTCCTGCTACAACGGAATAGCTTTCTGCAGCCATCTATCTAACTCTCCTCACTCTTGGTATACCCTGGAGAATGAAAATAGTGCAAGGAGTATCGTGAGATAAGCCAGTTCTCATCTCTAGCCAAGTCTCAACAGAAACTTGGGAGTTCAATGAAGTCAAGGCTTTTAGTCCTGTTTCTGTAATTTTTGTATTCACCACATACCCATTTAACATCGTATAAAAACATTGGCTTAAATGTAGTGTTAACACTCTCCTGTAAACAAGAAAGCATAGGTCATTGCAAAGCCACACCAAACGGTCTTTTATATTTCTCTGTTTCTGAAGATTTATGCCACCAGTAATTCAATTTAATTTATGCCCACGAACAGACTAAAAAGCTCCAAATAAGTTATATTAAAATAGTTGCTATGGAGGACATGGCTGGCCTCCACAGGAAGCCAGTTAGGCAGCTTAAATCCCTCACACAGCACTGACTGCTAACCACTCACAGTTGTGGTTTTCTGATGAAAGTTGTGTTAAATATGGAAGCCACAAGCTGTGAAGAAGTGAATTCAGAATAACTGTCACATCCAGCAAAATGTCATCTGCCCCGTGTGAGTGGAGACTGACAAATCAGTGTATCTTGTCTCAGTCAGTGGCTTGTGACATCTGATTTCTCAAGAAGCTAAGTTCCCAAGATTCTAGGTCAGACATATGCACAAAACATGTACAAAGAAACAAGGAGGAAAAGCCTTCTAGCACCAGCTGTGTATCGTCACGTGTCCAAGCTCATGTAAATTCAAATTTAATTTCTATTCAGCAAACTCACTTCTTCCTCTCTAGACAAGGTTGGCAGAACTACATGAAGTGGCCAAACTATGCTTCTATGTAGCAATATTAACATTAAGGTGTTATTATGGTTTCTTGATTCTTTTTCTCAATAAAGATGTGCTGTCAAAGCAATTGTTATGAGCACCAGCTGGCTCACGTCCCCTGCTGACCACATGTCGGTCAATATGTTCTGTCAAAATGCTCCCTCCCCCTTCCATTAATGGCTGCAGCGTGGCAGAGACAGGAGGCAGCTCTATGCTTGCTAAAATGACAGTCAGGAAGCATGAGGAAGAATGAAAGGCAGGAAAACCGGGTCTGCAGAATTTGTCTAGTTATGATCTTTCCAGATGCATCAAAAATGTCGCTTTCATTGCTGCATGGTACCTCATAGAGGTCTTCATTAAGCAACCCACATCAGTATCCAGATTTTATTTCATATCAAGCTCAAAGATGACAATTTTGAACCCATTAACAATGGACAAATTATAAAAAATAAGAAAAAAATATTTTAAAATGCCCTGGAGCTACAACTCAGCTAGCTAGTATCTCTCTTTTTTTCTCCTCAATTACCTGGTTGCATTAAGCACTCAAGTACTTACTGACCTTACCCTCTCTAACACAAATACTGGGGATTAAAGAAGCACTGTCAGTCTAGTGCTTTTCTCATGCAAATCTCAGATGATACAATGTTTTTCAGGGCATAGACTACTTCTGTTTGGGACAGAGAATGGCATAGGTGTGCACATCCTTTCCCTCCTCTCCCACTTGCATGTTCTTGCAGTGCCAAAGCAATGTCTCATCAACAAGGGGAGGAAACCCCAAAATTTGTTTTTAGCTATTCATGGCAAGAAAAGAGAAATCATGAAAAAGCAAGAAAGTTAACCAGCACTATAAAATCAGCCAAAAAATGATGAGCTTTTTCACATTTTTTCAGCAGCTAATTAAAAAATTAATGGGTTTCTACTCACACTGAGAAAACTGTCTAGAACAAACACAAACACCAGAAACTAAAATTTGAGTCCCATTTTCATCTTAGCTCTTTAAATATTTCTGAGTGGTTGAAAAGGCACAATTTACATTAAGAGAAAAGCAAGACTTTGCATATTGCACAAGTTAGTTGAAGAATCCATTTATGTCCAAATTAGAACAGCGACTATACAAAAATGAAACTGCATTAAACCCAGCGATGAGTCTCATGTAACTGTTGGGGAAATCACACACACAGATGTCTCAGAAAGAAGATCTCTCAGAAGGAAGAATGCAGCTAAGATACCCAGAGCTGAGGCTGATTTACTTCATGACAAAAGACTGTTGCATGCAATACAGATTGTTTTTTCTCCCCTTGAAATCTGAATAGCTTGGGACTGCTCAAAAACATACCCTTCACCCTTCATGAGTAACCACACTTTTCCCCATCAGGTAAGCAGCAAAGGTGTTTCTCTGAGAGCAGCAGGTGTTTCCTCACTCACAAAATCCTGAACAATATTTCTCTTACCTGCACATGGACTCACTGCAAAGCCCACTCTCCTCTGGGCTCTGTCAAATATTACATAGAAGCCTTCCATGACTGTAGCACCAATAACGAGAGCATTTGTGGAGGAAGAGATGCCGAATCGGTAGCACTGTAAATTCTCTCCTATTCCAAGAATAGGTTGAATATAAAGCTATTAAAAAAAAAAAAATGCACCAGAGTGTAAGGAGCAACACCACACAGTACTTAGAAGTTCAGATTTTTATATTCAAGCAGTCAAACTCCATTGGAAATAGAGAATGAATAGGGACAAACAGTTTTCTGCACCTGATTTAAAACTGGTCAAAGCTTATATGCAGGTAAGAGGTATAGCTCTTGGATTCTAAGCTTAAGTTTGAACACAGTCAGTTACTATGTGAAGGTCAACAGCAAATTCAGAAGAGCCACTTTTAATTGTACTTTACATAAGGGAAGGATAGCTGAGAAAGAACTTGGGTTGTGAACTCAAATGAGAGAATAATTCTATTATTAAAAAAAATTATCAGGATGGAATTGATTCAGAGAGCATTCAGTGTCAGCTTCAAGACTCTAGATTCATAAATTCAAGTCACATTTTACCCCTTGTCTCCTCAGGGAAGATGAAAGATTGCCAAGCTACATGATCAATACAGAAAAAGCTTATCATAAGGCTTTCCTGTATTTCAAGTTAAAATGTACTTAAAAGGTTCATTCTCCCCTTTGCTCCTGACCATCCCCTAAGGTAAAAGACTATTAGCAATGTTAGAGGATACTAGCCTGTATTGCAACCTATACTGGGAGGGGAAGCCAGAGAGGAAAAATAAAAGTGGCATATTATATTCTAAAAGCTGGGATGGAATATTAATAAGAGATAAACCAACCAAGTTATAGAAACTGGTGAAGAGATCACATAGGCTCATTGCCAAGACTGTCATATTCAGAAGTGTTCCAACTCAGAAAGTCACAAAAAACAAATCAATTTGCTTCCCAAACTGAGAAGATCAAAATGAGCAGTGACATTCTGTATTGACATCTAATGTGGCTAAAGCTCGTGAAAACAACAACTTGCCTATTTTTCCTGACAATTTGAAAAAATCATTCCCAACTACATGGACTGCACTCAGAGGGAAACTGAGTTTTTCTTTTTGATTTTAGGTTTGACAAGTTTGTTATTTTCCCTACTTAAAATTTGATTTTAAAAATTTCATTTGAAAAGATTTCCCTTGCATGCAATAAACCAGTTCTCTATTACTGCTAAAAATAGTTCATATTTTTTAAAAGCATGTGCTTTATCATAGTAAAAATAAATGCATAACTGAATAAACAAAGAAGGTTGAGACCTGTGGTAGGACAGAGATCCGAAACGACCTACTGGAGTTTTCATCCCTCAGATAAATGGAAAGTTTGGGAAATAAGGACCAGGGTCTTTCAGTTTTATCCCAGCATGCAAGCTGTGAACCAGTCCAGAAACCAGAAGAGAATTCTTGTATCTATTAAAAAAAAAAGTGATAAACACGGGTTACATACATTTTGATAGTCTTTTGTAAATGATTGTTACCACTATTTGAAACTTCTTCCATTCCTATGGAGAAATTCAAGCATGAACACAAAGCTGACAAAGAGCTTTTTCTTTAAGGAACAAAGCAAACACCCAACACACAAATCAAGGTGTGTCGTAGCCCATTAGGACTTGGAAGAAGGGGGAAGAGGCAAAAGCAAGTTTAGCTCTCCCTTCCCTGTGTCTCATTACTTCTACTTCTGCATTGGACATGTATGACCTTCCTGAGCAATCAGTACGGCAAAGAGGCAAAGCATCAACAGACTTTTACTACCTATCTGCCTCTTCTCTGAACAGCCCTGACCAAACACAAACGTTTCGAAGCAGCAGACTTTTTTTAAAGACACAAACCAAAATACAAACTGTACAAATATGTAATGCAGTCATCTCCCTTCCTCACATACCTACAGCTTCTTACTCAACTTTAGAGTTTTGAAGCCAAGGGCTAAGCCAAAAATCTCCTGGCATCTAAGGGAATCAAGGTCTGCTACAGTCAATACAAAGAAACACGTCCTTCTTTCTCTTTTGCTGCCCTGCACCAATATAACTTGACATACTTTTGAAATAAGGTTGATTAACAATACTTCTTAATATATCCATGGCACTAACAAAGAAAAAAGAAAACCCCTACAGAGAGCTTGTTTGCCTAAGACAAACATCTAATGTTTCTGCTCCCTGAAGCTGATCTGCTGCCAGATCAGAGGAAAAACCTTCCTTATTTGAGTGTATTACTTTGTGCTGGTTCTTATTCCCATGTGAAGCAACATCCAAGGCAGTATCTTGTTCTGATGCTGCACAGCCAAAGACAAAGCCTCTCATCTAGGTGAAGAAAGATGGAATCCAGCCTCTCAGCTCCCTCCATTTGTATTTATCTGTGATATCGATTACTTTGTAAACATCAGCTCATACATCATTTATGTGACATTTTACAGGTGACAACTATTCACCCCACCCCACATACCTGCCAATGAAATATTTGTAAGGGCTGCACACTATTAGAGACTTAATACTTTGTGGTGCTCATTTCTGTTCTTGGGCCAAAAGCATACACTCATGTAAACACATAAGGAAACTTCACAAACAGACTGCTTTTACCCTTAACTCTCAATGGATGCTTAAGCACATCTCTTGGAACGGGACAGAATGCTCTGCCCCTCACAGCTAGGTCCCAGGCCAGACCTCCTGAAAAATATAGTTCTCCTCTTTTTCCATTTTCTCTTGGAAAGCAGAGCTTGCGATTTGAGAAAAACTGCAAAACAGAACCCAGTCTGGACAGACCAAGTCTATTAAATGCTCTATTTGAAGTGCCTACTTTCATTTCCCAGAAAGACTGCTTATTGCACTTCTTTGCCTTACTTCTGTATGCTGAAGAAATGCATTGGTGGGGATTTGGCTGTATGACACCTAAAAAGTTATTAAAATAAAGATTTTAGGCTTATGTGAGCCTTCCCTTCTTTAACTTAGTAACTTAGTATTATATTCATGCTGTGAGCAGACATGACATACTGACTTCAGCTCAGTGAGGTGTAGTAGCTGCCACCCCTCTGTGGCTCATCTCTGCCCATCTGCCAAAACCACCCTACTTTAGACCTGCCAACATGAAACTGCATCTATAGCTGCTCCCTAAAAGACTTCAGTCCAAGTAAGTAAGGTTTAAAAACCAATCTGTACCACTAAAGAGCGTGAAGCTCATAGCCTTAGTTTTTAATGGAGCTGAATAAAAGAATGCTTCATGTGCAGTTATCCCAGCATACTGAGGGGGCAATAACATCTTGCTGGGAAGTTCATAACAAGCTGCTAGGAGCAGGAACTCGTTAACTTGGTTCACCTGTGGTCAGAGAAGTATGTCTGATGAGAGCGGATGATTTTACATCTCAGTGGTATATAGCACTGAGCGCTAAGAGTATGTCTCTGATGCCACGGTATAGTTGCTGAAAATACTAATTTACCTGACATTGCTCCTACGCGGCTGCAATCTGATCCTTACACCTTGTAACTACTTCCTTATTTAATAAACTATCTCCTTTGTTTAGAACTGTAAAAGTAATTTTTGGGGTGGGGGTGTGTGTGTGTGTGTGGAGAGAAAGGAGTACAGCAGCAAGTTCCTTGAGACTGAAAAGAAACCCTGAAAGAGAAGAGTTAGTTTATGCATTTTTAATAGGAAGAACAAAAACCATTAAGCAAAGTGAGTGAGTGGTTCTCCTCTAAAACCTTATTGATCAATTGACTATTTACTTATCATATGGAAGGCCTTAGTTCAAATGTCCTGACCAACATCAGAGAGTAGTGTGGACCTCTGTGACCTGCTTCACAGGAGGATGCTCTATCCACAAGAAGCCTTTACAAGAGCTCTTGGGTAGGCTTCTTCCAGTTCCCCCCCCATTGACTGAAATTGTTCCAGTCAATACTTAAGGGCTTTGCAAAGAGAAGAATTTTTCAACCAAGGAAGCTGAGTTGCCAAAGGTGACTGGTACATTTATTTCAGATACTGGACACCTGCAGGCAGTGAAGAACACTTCATGCCACGTCTCTGCTCTCAGTCAGGTAGGAAAAGGATCTCAGTCTGGAATTATCAGCATACAGGCAAATACTCTTTTTTGGGCAGCCAGCCAATCATCTGGTTACTGTATTTCCTGTGATTTGCAATGACTACTGCTGTCTGATTGTGGATACATGACAAAAATATTAAAATTGTCACATTGAAATATCTGGGATTTATTTTTCATCTTTAACCTTCTTGGCACTGTTCATTGTATTAAACTAAAATGTATGAATAGTTTTTTATTAACCAGAAAATGCTGCTTCAGTTACTCTACATTCAGAGAAATCCACCATTGCCATGCCCTACTTCTAAAGCCCACTCTATTTCCAAAGAAAGATACTTTAAAATATAAATAATTCAATAATGAAGGTCAAAAGCAGCTTTATTCGTATGAATAATCCTAATGAATGGCATCCGTTCTATACAACAATAAGCTTGGAAAGGAACTGCTTGCAGTAGCAGGTTCTTTTACTTTATATACACTGTTTTGAATGAAAGACTGATTTTTTCACACTTAATACTCTGAATCAGAGAAACAGGGATTATGTGCATGTCTCTGAAATGCTTAGAACAAAATATTCCATCTCTGCACTATTTCTGATGCACCTCCATACACAGACTTCTTGTCTGTACTTGGATCCCCCTTTTCCCTTTTCCCCTCTTCTTTCCCTTTTCCATTTCCATCGAAGACTATCAGTCATTTCTCACTTATTAACAGGAGTAGACCAGGAAAGATTCTGCACTCCTCAGGTTAACACCCTATGACTTACAAGGTAGACAGCCAAGATGACACTCTTTTCAAAGATCATGTGGTCATTTAATTGGAATTTAACATTTTGAGCAGATGTAATGACATTAGCTTACCAGGGATGTGCGAGCTATTGCTTGCACAACAGCAGTGAAGACTTTCTGAGGCAGACGGAGGAGCGTGGTTCCACTGTCTACTATTGCTTTATCGGCATTATACTAGGGAGGGGGGAAAAAAGAAGTTGCACACTGTAGTTAATGTAATGCAGATTCCACTGTTTCATAACAATGAAAAAGCTGTTTCTTTTTGGTAGCTGTCTTCCCAAACCTGCGTGTCATACCTGTCGGCAGCTCTCTCCAGCTGGTAGCTTGAATTCAAATGAAGTCTGAGGCCAAAAGCAAGATATGGTCAGCCTAGACACAAGAGTGAGTCTATCTGCACCACACGGGAAACTACTACGTGTCACCACAGCTGGTGCAAATAGCTAAGCCACTGTAAAAAGAAGTAAAGTCCGGCCCCTCTCAGAGATGCGAGCTAATCCACTTTTGCTCCCATACACTTTGGGCAAAAGCTCTCTCCTACTCAGTACAGACAGATGCCTAAGCATGCTGATGTAGCTTACACATATGTCCAAGCCCTCAGTCAAGGTCTCTGCTATCATGAAAACAACTCACTTTAATTTAAAAACAACACAGCAGCCTACTTTTAATGGCTGGCATATCTAATTTAGGAATAGTCAGAGAACATTACATGCCATTACACGTAATGTTTGATACTGGCTCAAGAGTACAATGCCAATTGCCACACCTTTCTTTCTCAACTGCTGAAACCCATTAAAATGGACAAAAACGAGTACAAAGAAATGGGAAATTTCAATCTTGCTGCCTCAACATCTGCACTGAAAAAGCTAAGCAAACATTTCTCCTCATTATTAAAACCCTAACACTCAGATTAAGAGATTTCAGCAGACTTCAGGTACAGCAGACACCAAATAAATATTTTAAAAGTTACACCTTTTTTCACGAATTCCTTAAAAACTATGATTAATTGGGGGGGTGGGGGTGGCGGGGAAGCAAGTAGCAGTGGCAGCTCTTTGCACTACTTTTGTTACCAGATTAGGTAGCAGGATCAATATAACTGAACAGTGACATGTTTATAGCATAATCGTAAAACAGAAGGTAATATACAGCATAAGCTTTTTAGGAAGAGGTCAAACAGCAAGCAAATTGAAAACACATTGGTTTAGATGTTATCAAGTCACAAGGAATATCTTTAGCACAGTGACAAATATAAAACCCACCAAGAAGTAAAAAAGTAACTCTGACTTATTTTCTTTTTGAAAGAAGAGCTGCTATAGACTGCCAAGCAGAACCAAAAGAAAAGCAAACAGGAAACCATTTATTATACACTCAGAAATACTTTTACAGAGTGGAGAGAAATATCAGGGCATTCTGGAGTCCATTTTAACAGATTTGTAGCACAAATACGCAATCACCAGTATCCTGGAAAGGCACCCTTGGAAAAAAGTAGGTAGGAGGCACAGCCAAAAGGGTCAACCACTAACGTAAACCCATGCAAAATGCCTGGAGTAGCAGGATCACTCAGCTAGGGACTAAGCACCTGGATTTTCATGCTGTGTACAGCATACTTGCAACAGGCAGCAACTTGCCTTCTTAGTCTTCCTGGTTAATATTTAACAGTGCAGCCTATGCAGGGTACGCTGCTGGCAGCCCAGTACTTCTCTCAGCCCTGGTCTGCCAAGCTCAAGGCCACAGCTGCAGTGTAACACTGGACAGATTCCCAGCATTGAAGTGAGGGGGACTACTTTTCCCTGGCAAGGAAAGGAGTAGTCTCTGGTGATGGTTACAAAAAATGTTCCATTTCCTAGAAAACAACTGAGAGAGGGCACATAGTTCATCATCCCATACAGTGAATTATGCATCCTCTGCAAGCACCTAACTAGCCAAACTTTAATCATACTAGCTCTAATTTACTGTTCTTCCATTAAATTTTTGCAGAAAGATCTCCTTTGATCAAGAAAGGAATGATGATTTCTGCACCAGTGACTAGCATACTGTGCTGATACATACAACGTGAAAGCAAACCCTGGCTCAGAAAAGAGCAACAATAACAGGAAACTTTCATAACACCACTACATTTTTAAGTGAGCTGTTTTCCAGAAACAGCATGAATTAAACCATTAGTACAAGGGCTCCTCTTCAAAAACATGTTGACTGTTTTTTAAGGCAAGAAAGAAAAGCAAACACAAACCAATGGTTTTGCTTTCCTAACAGTGTAACAGAGGCAGGCATTTAAATAGACCTTGGTTTGCTTATTAACTTGAAAGACAACATGACTCATTTTAAATATTTTATATGGCAGTATGATTTCCATATTTTGTATGGAAATATATTTATGCACATGCAAGATTTTTATTATGAATTTCCCTTAATTTGTATGAACTATAAAAATTAGATTTAGAACAGAATTACTATGATTTCCACCTAAGAGAACAAGCATAAAATAAAATAATTCTAATTAAAACAGGGCATGAAGATTATAGAACTAAAATCAAACGTGAATAGCAATAACCAACAGTAAGAAACAAATAAAACACACATATATCCTCCAGAAAAAAATGAGACAGATTTGGAATAAAAATTGCAACAGTCTCATTAGACAGATGCAGAGATAGCAGAACATTATTTCTAATAAAAACCAGAAAACACATCCATCAGGAATAGTAACTGGTAAGGGTGAAGTGAGCAGAAGCCTATTACAAAAATTAAAAAGCAGGCATAGGATGAGATACTTTGGGAAGCGTCCCAGGATGACACCTGCCCACTGTCATTGTGACTTACATATTTAGACATTGCCACAGGGGTCAACCCAAAAATCTTCCCTTTTCTTTGATCAGAAATGCTTTAAAACCCTTTGGTTTGATTTCACTGTATAACAGAAAACCATAAGCTGTAGCTATTTAAAGACTGTTGTCTCCTTGAATCAATGCAGCATCTTCAGTGTTTAGACACATTCATTACAACTGAAACTAGTCAAGAGGCTGATCAGCCCTCCAAACCACAGCAGCCTTATTTTCAGTGGACTGTTCACTTAACAACTGTAGCTCAGTTCCTAATTTACTGAAAATACTCTCAATTACTTTAAAGTCCTCCCTGAAGCAATTTTAGCATGCTTGATATACACACTGCATTTCACATGGGTCATTCATTTCTTTTCAAAGCTACCATGCAGCCTTAATTCTCAGAGGAAACTGCAATATGCATCTACTTGTAAAGACAAAATTGATCAATTAAGTGTTTTTCTTAACAAAACTTGCATTTTATACAAAAAGAAACACATAATCACAAATACCTCTCTGCAGTCCAATTCGAGGTTTTGTCCTCCGACCTCCAGTTTGAGAATTTCAACCTGGTAATACCACTCCTCTTTGATCGGTGTGTACCAAATATCGCCCTTGTACAAACTTGGTTCAATTCCACCCAGAACCTAAGGGAAAGGAGAAAGGAATTCACAGGCTTTAAAATCTCAGATGTTTATTTTTGGGGCAGGTACAGTAAAACAAGGGGGAATATTTAACTCTGTGATATACAGAGCATCAAAATTTTAATTTAGCACCATTTGTAAGGATTATAGTGACAAATTCTTGGTCAATAATAAAGCAGTATGAAATAGATCATGCTTCAGTCAAACAGAATTACCATATTGGGCCAAACTACCAGCATCTTGATCTACAAGCTCACACTGATTCCCTTATGAAAGCCCCACTGTTTAAAATCAAAACAGTATCTGCAGTGGTTTAATCTAGCCAATGTATAAAAATGGGACAGAATATTAAACCTGCACATCATAAATTCACTTTATCAGGTCAGAAAAACCTTAATACTGTTCAAGAACATTTCATTTTTCTTACACACATGCAAAATGGAATATGACCATCTTATCATTGCTATCACTATTAGCTTCCATCAAAACTGACTTTGAAGCTGACTGGGCGTATGCTAGACCACCAGACTTTGAACTGAACTAACATAAGCAAGTTCTCTCTTGGTCTTCATCTATCTCAAGTGTGTTAACATTTACAGTATGTGAATTCTCAGCAAAACAACTATTTGTGATCAATTCCTGTGCTGATATGCTTATTTCAACTCCTGATTCCAGATAAGTAATGGCCAATTCTTGGTTCCATCAAAACTGATGGAAAGACTTTCCAGAGTAATGGGTTGAAGATCTGGTCTTTAGATTTTTTTCCTTTAATGAATTGTCTACAAAAATAAGGAAAAGAGCCTTGATTCCTCTCCCCCTTTTCACATAATGTAAAAAAAATACTGTAGCATTTTGATGAGACTGAACAAGTTTAGCAGCTGAGTAGGGTACTACTCAGTTTGATAAAGGTAGCAGAATCTGCCCTGAGGAAACACCACAATATTTATATGTTTTTATTAAAATTAAACTTGAAATACAGAAGTTTAGTCAAACATGAGAGAGAAAATAAGAATGGAGAATGAAACAGACACTTGAATTTTGCCTAAATGCTTAACTTTTCCTTAAAAAAAACCATACAAAATATTTCATATATTTAAACACTAAATTTGGAATAAGTAGGATAGTCATAGAAAAGAGGGAGAGAGATTAGCAAAGATACATCTTCCCTCTCAGATTGACAGATACCCACAAGACTACCTCCGTTGGTACCACTTCCAGAAACAGGCAGTCCAGCACCACACATCTGCAAGGAGAAAATGTTGGGGATCTTTGCCTGCCTCACAAGAGAATCAAAGAACGTCTCCACAGAACTTGAAGGCTTGAAAGTGTTGAAAAACAAAACAAAACAAAACAAGAATTGAAGAAGTATTTATTAAAAAGGGTTTTTTGCAGGAATGAGCAAATCATTCAAACAAGACCACTTTTCACAAGTAAATTGAGTTTCTGACAACCAGGTGATGAAAATTCTAGATATAATAAGTCATTAAAAAAAACAACATCTGTCATTTTTCTGTTTCTGTTGTTTTTAAAAATATTTCTATACTTGACCACTGTCACAGAAATCCCTAGAGCATGAGAGTATTTTCCAGTTGCAGTTTTCAAATTCAAATACTAGTTTCAGTTTCAGGCAGAAACTCTCACCAATGCTTTCTGTTTGGAAAAGGCTTTGTGTTATTAGAAAAGTCAAATGTAACTTGCCTTTCACAACTTCCCACAGTTAAAAGGCAGAATTTTAAAGTGAGGATTTTCAGTTTTTAAACATAGTTTAATTCCAATGAACTTTGAATTCAGTGGCCCTTATTTCTTCTTCTTTTTTTTTAAAGAACTTCATATCCAAGTATGCTCACTTCAACTGATTACTGGCCAACAGGTTCTTTCCTGCACTGCATGTCATGGTTTCTTTTGCAGTTATTAGAGTACTGTAATTTCACTGTAATTCAGATTTCCATGCAGGTATACCTTGTGACAGGCAGAGACCCCGGCTAGCTTGCGAGGTGCCAAGTGCTCTTACTACACAAAGCACAGAGCAGCCTCAGAAGCCAACACTATTCAAGTCTTTGGAAGAAAGGAAAAATAAATCCCCCGAATACACTATTTGCCCAAACCATAGTTTGAGAAGCAGCTCTTCTCTGTCTGGCTGACAACAGTATATGACACAAGTATGGCAAAAGTCAATACAATGATCACACAACTCTTGAATAAAGCATTTTAATTCCAGAGTTGGCAGGCAGTATTGAATCATTTGTTCCTACAGAATATATCTCTGTGAATTTCTCAGATAGTTATGTGTAGGTTGAAAACTATGACTATGTAGTATTCCAATCATGTTTTCAGTTTTAGATTGTGAGATTATAAATTTTAAATTTTAATTTAAACTTCTACCTGAATTTCCTACCTCCACAAGAACAGGATGTGCTTGGTTCTATGTTCATGAAAAAAACTGTAGCTAGTATTTGTTCTAAAATTATCCATATATGCCCTCCATCTCAACCTTTACTTGATGAATGGAGAATGTTTTAGAATGAACTACCAAGGGCTTTGCCAAGTAAGTTCATCAGTCCATTGATAAGTCTCGAGAGAAATCATCAGAGCCCTAATACATACCCTCCACACATAGATAGAAGCCATTATTTTCATACTGTGGTACTACAAGCTCTGTAAAAGCTTATTCTTTCCAGAGGAGTTAAAATCAGAGCCTTCACCACCAGAAAAGGCAAAATCCTCACATGTGACTATGGTACCATCACAACCCAATTTATTCTTTCTGGAACAAACACAAAGGATCCATAGGAAAGAGTGGTTGGAAGGGAGGAGAGTAATGCTGACAGAACATCTGCTCACTTTAATAGCTGGATTTCTATTTATTGTCACTGTAAAAGACAGTAACGGTGGAAAGGATGTTTTACCTTGGCTAAGGTATTGTAGGCAAGACCAAGAATCCCATGCCATTTAACCCCTGGTAAGAAGAAATTCTCTGATTCAAGAATAGTAGCAATGTTGATGGTGTAGCTGCCATAGATTCCTTTTGGGATAGTAATGACATCTGTACCCAGCACTCCAGTCCAACTTCCTTGACTGTACTTAACTGTGACATCAATCCCTTGAGATTTGTATGTACTTGACCTTTAAAAGAAAAAGATATACTTATGCATGAACTGTTCATTTAGAATGCAAGACAACAAAATATATTCAATCTCAATTTTTCCCAGAGAGAAAAAAAAGTGAAGCCTGTGAAGTCAATCACATATACTCACAGAAGAAGGGGGACCGATTGTAAAAGCAGTAAAAAGTGGAAAGAAAAAAAATAATCTTGAGCCCCTGTTTCTATCCTGAAGTCATCAATGATTCAAATCTTCACAATGCGTGTCTTTTCTTTTCTTTTTTTTTTTTTTTTTTTTTTTTTTTTTTTTTTTTTACCTAGTGCAACGTGTCCCTGACTCAGACTGGTCCATCACAATAGGAGCAATCCTCTTTAACTGGAGATGGAATGTATTAAGTGGCATTAGGAAATGAAAAGTTTCTGAATTCACACCTAAAATTGAAATGCCAAGCTAACTGAATAGTTGTAGACTAATACTTCATTATTTTATTAAAAAATCCATTTTGGGTAAATTGGAATGTTATTGTGAGTATCAGCAGTAAGACACAGGTCTTCTAAATCTGCAGTTTGGTCTATCAGGAAGTAAGCAGACTTGGATATTATTAACAAATGGTCACTGACATGGAGAAGGAAAAGAAGGAGTTTCTTCAAGTCCAGGGCAGCAAAGACAAAGGAGCAGTTAAGTATGGCAAGTAAAGAAAGGTAAAGAATTCTGTTTAGAAGGCTTAACAAAAACATTAGAAAAAGCTTAAATGGATTTTTCATTTTAAAATCCTGTAGTATAAATATAGTAATCATCTTCTGCCTGCATCACTACTGAAGAGCTACAAAAGTTCTAGATCCCTTACAACTTGTTCTGGTCCCGTGACTCAGCATACAGCTTCCCCTTCTGAAGAGACAGATGACCATGCTCAGTTCATCTGAACAGACTTTTCACTTGACAGCTTCTTTAAGAGTAAGTTAAAAAAAAAATCAAGTGCAAAATAATTTCATAACACCACCTTTACATGTAAAACAATAAAAAGTGCAGGTGATCTATCAAGTGAGGACCGTTTTATCAACCCACCTTTAATCTAACGGCTGCTCTGACAGGAACAGCCACATGAAGTGGCTTCACAGCCACCTGTACCTGAGCTCACCTGAGAAAAAAGTTGGTGTGATTTTGCCTATTACGGGGAACAACCTTTAGGTGGCAACACAGACAACTCCCATCCATTCAAGCAGACACTTCCTCTTAAGGGACAATCTGGCCATATAGATCATGCAACTGATCCTCTTCCTAGCTAAGGGAGGGAAGGAGTGGTAAGAGGCCAGGCTCTAACCTTAAGCAGTTCTTGATACTCCCACCTTCAAGGCTCTTCAAGGCTCAGTAACTTGTAACATCCAAGACAGCAGAAATATATCAAATAATAGGCCCTACAGATGATACTTCAAAATGCAGAAATTCCAGAGAGTTACTACCTGTGTCTGGACACTTCTACAACTACTGCTGTTTTACTTTTCTGTGTAATTCTGCGTTTGTATGATACGTAGACAATGGAACATCTCTGCTCAGGCAGGGTCTTCAGAGCACCACTGTGATACTGGCAGTACATTTTATAAATCAAAACAGAGTCTGAATAACTAGTGACATAAGAGAAATCAGGGGTGGGGCAGGAAAAGGAAGGGAAAACAGTGTTCTTAATGTAGAAAAGTGTCCGTCTGTGGAACAGAAGAGGAAATGTCTGAAATCAGAAAGTGTGTGTGGGGAGAATGAAGCAAAGCAAATCTGCAAATACAGGTGCTGCATGACTAGCAAAAGCAGCAGCACACAGTTCTTCTTCCGTAAGTGGTAACAGACTGATGGACTGAGCTGTGGACCAGGACACTGAAAGACTGGGTTCATTTTCCAGCACGGCTACTGATCTTTCCTGTGGAAAAGTCACTGCCTCACACTCTGTGCCTCAGCTTCCCTACTGCAGAAAAGGGTATGAGGACAGTCATCTCATTTGTAAAGTGCACAAATGTTGAACTGAAGACAAGGCTTTATTATTTCCTTCAAGGAGCGAAATTTCTAATGTGGGAAGGGATCTTAAATAATCCTTGTGGCAGTAAATTATATTCTGCTCTGCAAAACCACTTCCTGCTCCATCTTCTTGACTCTAATCAGCCTGTGTTTTTCCACCTCACTGATCTAAAGGAAGAAAACTTCTTTGGAGGTCAAAACTAGAGACTTGTTGTAATTCATGGGCTGAGTATTTTAACACAAACACACAGCACAAAAAATTCCAAACAAGCTGTTTTGGCTGTGATAAGAAAATTAGAAATTCAACTCTTCCATCAGGACGGAGCGTATCTTAGCCAGAGGCAAGGAAAAAGGCCTCCCACATTACGGTGCTGTAGTGACGCTACTCCCTTCACCCTCTCCTTTCTGGTTACTGTCTTCTCTCCAAAGCAACCAGCAGAAACATGTTCCTCAAATCTCAAATGGATCTCAAGCCTCAGCTGAGAAAACTAGCAATGATTTCATTTTCTCATGCAGTTACTCCTCATTACCAGCATATAGCACTGAACAAAATGTAACCAAAATATTTCTCATGCTTCCTTTGAAAGAAGCTTAACATGGCAACAAGAAGTCCACTACACAGAAAGACCTGCTTAACACCAACCTCGCCAAATACATGTAATTCCTTCTTAGTTCCATGCTCTCTTGCCACTCTGCAACAAACCAGGACTTCAGATTTTCCTGCTCGCCTGCTCACTTTTTCCTAAGCACCAAATCAATGTCTCCACAGACAACAGTGGCAAAGAAGGGACAGAAAATAGCAATCAGCAAAAAAGTTTAAATGAACATTTTGATCTTGTCTCTAGTGATAGATGGCACAAGATAAGTGATTCAGGGCCAACAACTTTATGACAAAGCAAACATCAAATCCCAGTATAAATTACTGATTTTTAACCAAGAAGTCCCATCTAATTTGCATGGGTTCTAGAATGAATTTATGGTTTAGCCCAAACCACAAACTGTACAGGTATACAACCAAACTTGCAGGATCATGGTACAACGCAGCATCCTACTTTTGCTTGCTGGCATATAATTTATTATATTACCTCAATTTATTGCCCACAATTTTCTTACCTTCCTGTCTCTCGGAATGATCAATTCTTGAGCAGTTGCTCATGAAACTCTAGTTGGTGAGGCAGTAGTACTCACACTGAAATAAAGCTGAATGTTGTTGCTGAATACTGACAGCCCTGAGTACGTCACTCTTTCACTTACAGCTACAGACCCATCACTGACACTTTAGTTTCATATGTAAAAATCCCTTTATATATCCATTTAAGTAGGTCTTTCATCATAAGTAGCATACTCAACAAAAACTACTTGTTATTTTGAACAGCAAAAGGAACAAAAGTTATTTCAGTTCAGGACAAATTAGGCCATTTCCCCAAACCTTATACATCATGGTGACTTATGATCATCACAGCAGACTCAGAACTTTTCACAGCAAAGGTTTTCTCAGGGCCACACAAAAGCACAAGTTGTGAAAGAGTTCATGATAACAGCTTTATTCATTTTGTACAGGAAGACTGATAATTAAACAGTAGACTTATATGACATGCATTATATGACATACAACATCATTTAACAAGCTAGTTCTAAAATTACTCAAGGAGGACTCTTCCTGAACAATACACCCTCCAAGCCCTTTGAAACAAAGATAATGCTTTTCCTATGCACCCTTCTCAATTTCAGTCAAAAAACAATCATGCATTTAATTTCAGATTTTGATCGTTTGAATAAAATTAAACTAAGAGTGTGGCAATCAGGAAATTCAGACCCATCACTCTCTTTCTCCAACACAATATTAATATTCTAATAAGCACACATCTATAACTCAGTCCCATTAACTTTACAAATTACTAATCCTTCTTTCCCATCGTCTTCAATTTGCAGTTTATGACTTTCATTTGGAAGCACTTCATGACAATATAGGGAAAAACTGCAGGAATGATTACCAGATGAGAGGAAACCTATTTATCTAATTTTAAAGTGTTCCACATAGTGGGGAAGAAAAGTGCCCATAGGTCATTTGTCTCATTTACAAATGGGTAAAGGTCACTCTTAGGTAATTTTACAGATCCAGCTGATGTGATATTAAGGCCCCTGTCTATCATCTATGCGAAGTCATGACAACCAGGGAAGGTAACCTGACTACAGGGAAAAGGCTATCATAAGACCAGAGAACAACTTCCTGGAATCAGTTCCCAAGCACATAAAGGGCAAGAAGATAATCATGGACACTCAACAAGGCATTTCACAGTCGTATCATGCCTCACCAACCTCATTGCCTTCTACAAGATGACTGGCTGTGCAGATGCAGAGGGTGCAGTGGCTGTAGCACATCTTGACTTCAGTCAGGCTTTTGACAACATCTCCCATGGCATTCCCATTTGGGAGCTGAGAATGTGGGGCTGAACAAACAGACCACTGTGTGGGTTGAAGATGGGCTAGGCCACTGGGCTCAAAGGGCTCAGCATCAGTCTCATGACAAGCATAGTGCCCCAGGGGTTGTGAGTGGAGAAAAAAATTGTTCAACATCTTCATCAAGAACCTACACAATAGACAGACTGCACCCTCAGCAGATTTGGACAGGAGACTACGTTAAGGGGAGCAGCTGACATGCTGAATGTCAACTGCTTAAATCCAAAGGAGTATCAACTCCATGCATCAGGACAGACTGGGAAGCAACTGAAAAGGACTCAAAAGGATTTTGGGTGATGGTGAACACTAGGCTGAATAAAAGTCAACAGCATACTTGCCCTGTGCTTACAGCAAATTCCACACCAGGCTATATTTGAGGGGCTGTGAACAATATATCCAAGCAGTTGCTCTCCCTCTCTGGTCAGCACTGGTGAGACCACACCTGGAATAGACTGTGGCCAGCTGTGGGATCTGGAAAAAAGAGGAACTGGCAGAGGGCTGTCAGGTCAGGATCAACAAACACAGAACCTGTGATGAGAAGCTGAGAGGAGCTAGGCTTCAGTTCTGCAGACAAGAGGCTAAGGGGAGATCTCATAGCATTTCACAACAACTTGAAAGACAGTTACAAAGATGACACAGCCAAACCTTTTTCTGCAGTGCCAGACACAAGGGGCAACACCCACGACATATTTTGTGAAGTTCAGGTTGGAAATTAGGAAATACTTCCTGCACAGGAGAGTGTGGCACAGCACTGAAACACACTGCCCAGAGGGATCATGGATTTTCCACCCTTAAAGGTTTACAGGATTTGGCTGGACTCAAGACATGACTGACCTGATCTGGTGACAGCCCTACCTCATCTGGGATATGTACTAGGTGACATACAGAGGTTTTTTGCAAGCAACGTTTTTAAAACATCTAACTGACTTCAGGGGGGGCAGGATGCCTCCCAGGTGGCATTTCTTTGTATTTAAAGCATTTAAAATGGAAGAAGCATGGTATAGCCAGGTTCAAACATGCTAATGTTTGCACTTTTTTCTGAGCATATTGCAATACTCCATCAATCCAACTCAAACAAGAAATTGCTATTGCAATTGCTCCAGACTGTAATGACTTGAGTTTGAATTTTTTCACAAAGCACCCTTAACTCTTCCTGGTGTAAATTTCAAGGTTTCATTGTTAACTTCTTTATATCAAAGTTCTCAAAACACACTGACAACGCTGCTAAAAGACTTGTAACCTTCAAGAGATTTCCCAGTCTTTCTCAACACACAACCTCTGCCGTTGTTGCTGTTTCTAACAGTTTATGGTTCTTATGAGAGGCCTTGCTCTTCCAGACAAAATAATATCACTTAAGAGAAAAGGGAGGAGGATTGCTTGTACTTTTAATTCTTTGCAATTAAGTTTCCTCTACCCACTGCCTATGGAAGGGGATAGCTGGCACACAAAACTCTGCGGTACTGCAGAAACAGCTTTCAAGTGCAAATTCTGGAATTTCCAGACCTGTGTCATATCAGAGTGAGATGTGAAATATCTCCATTAACATCAGAATATGTGACAGAAGATGAGGCTATTCTAGTAAGCAGCATAGAAATACTGGCTTTCCCTCTGTTACCAGTGCATCTTATTGGAAAAAAGTGCAAAAATCCATGTTAAAATACATAAAGAGGTAATGAGAATGGTGATACTCTCCAGATTCCCAGTCCTCTAAGTATTTGTATCCATATGCTTCAGCTAAAGATAGACACTGTGTTTTGGAGAAGTTTACCTGAAATAATTGAAACTAGAGAAGGGCAGAAAGGAAGAAAGAAAGTATGGAGAATGATTCAGACAAAGCTGTGCTTGGCTGTGACTAATGTCAGCTCATGCTAAACACAGCAGATCTCGTACGTAACAAGAACCAAAACCACCAAGTCATCTCTTACAAAAGACCAGATTCAGCAGATCATTTTGGCCCTCGGCCAAACTAAACAACAAATTAGTTTTTGATTAACTAATTTTGGTTTTGGATGAAACATCAAGTAACAGATACAATTACTGGGTTTTAATTTTTGTTTTTAAACAAAGGGCAAGTATGTTTAAACTTTTAAATCCTTCCAAGACTATTCAGATGAGAAATTGCCTAAAATTGGCATGATTTTTCAAATTATTTTTACCCTGTAATCTTTTTTCCTTTTCTCCAACTCTAATCAGTGCTGTGCTCAGAGCTCAGTTGCACTGCCATCAGTGGGACTGTTCATGGTGTCAGGCAGGACTTTGCATCAGACAAGGCCCATCTTCCCATATAGGCAACAAACATCCCACTCTCATGGGATGTCACAAGAGTGCCACAAACTGCCTCATCATCTTCTTTTGCATGGAGAAGCCAGAATCTAAAAGACATCCTAACCCACCATGGCATGCAGAACAGGTACTTACAGCGCTGTGTTGAAGTAGGAGGTGACATCAGGATCCGGCACACCTGCTACAGCAAAATTACTGCTCCCAGTGTCGACCAGAATATTTAACTGCCAAAACAAAAAAAAAGGAGCGGTGGTTTTCATATCCAACTAAACAAACAAAATTGGTAAAATTTTTGTCTAAACTACCTTCAGTTTTAAAATGAAGATGAAAGTTGCCATGAAAAATAAATATGAAGTGTCAATTTTGGGAAAGATAGGCTGCTGCAGCCCCTTCAAAACAGCTGATCATGCTGAAGTGCTTTAAAATAGTCATGTTCCTGGAAGGGGGAAAACCTGCCAAGCCCATATTCGCACAGCAGATGAATTCACAACCACCTCGAATTTCTTTTTGGTCCAACCCATGTGTCTCAGTAACCTGGCTCATCCGGGACACAGGCTGAATTGCACACTGTTTAAAGCACTGTTTGCCTTAGAGCTTATGAGGTTTCAAGGTAGGGGTTGAGCGCAAGTCTGAGCAGAAATAAGCAGAAGCACGAAGCTTCCTTGTGGCTTGACAAGCACGGGAAGGATGCCCAGTTTGTCCTGAGCAGCAGCAACCTACCACAGTCTTCACTGCCTTTAAACAGGCGGATGGCATATTTACAAACACTGTGAAAAGCATTGATTGAAAGGTGGCCTAAGAGTGGGCCACTTGTTTGGTTAACTGGGAGAATGATTTAGGCCAAAAATTGCCTAACAAAACCACACAGACAAAATGAGATGCCTCCTTTCCCCATTTGGCTCAGGTAAGCAGGCTGGTTCACCTCAGCTGCATGACAGCTTGTGCTAACACAAAGCAGAAGGTAACAGCACGGGAACGAACAGACGGATGCAGGATCACCTCTTTCAGTGAGACCTTGAAACTACATTAAATGTAGTGCCATTAAATGATAATTTAAGTCAGTCAGAACTGCACTGCTACCAAAAGCAGCGGTCACACTTTTCCCCTGCTCTTGGCTGGATGCTTCCCAGGGCTTCTTAGCATAAGCACTCGCACCCATGGGACTGTGATGCAAATCAGATCTGGTTCCTCACCTACAGTTACCAAAAAAAAAATTAGCAATCTGCCATATCAGACAGCTACTTGAAAAGAGATAGTAGGAACAGATACTAGAAAAGGACGATTGCCTCCTTTGGTGACAGTGTGGTCTCAGATTGGCTTAAAACAATTGTGAAATTATGCCCTAGGCAGCAGGGGACAACTGCTCCCTAGAAAAATATTAAGGAATTAAGAATTTTCCTGTAGGAGGGAATGAGATATGAGAACTGGGCTGCCTGTGCTTTAAACCCAGCTTGAACCAGCCACTTTGGTAGTCCTCATCACTCCTTAAGACATGAGGCAGCTAGGAATCTAGCACTGAAAGTGGATGTGGGAAGGGTAAGAGAGAATGATAGGGGAAATGAGTTTAGTGTTGACGAAGGAAGTAGAGAAACAGAGCTGAGCTCAGAAAGGAGAGTACAGGCAAAGGAAGCTAAAGTATTTGGAGAAGATGTACTGAATCCTTTTTTAATAAGTTTAAGACTGAGCGTAGACAAAAAAAGGTGCAAGTTGGTGGTCAAAAATATCTTTGGTATGCTCATGGAAGGGGAGGGAGGAGATGGTTATCTTGTTTTATCTAGTTAATATAGTATGGGGCTGAGGAGCTCTGAAATTAAAACATGAACACAAAAAACTACTAATCCATGGGACTCTCTTTCAAACCGCATGCACGCTCTGTCATTGGTATTCCCAGTCCTAATGCAAAAATTTTAAGATTAAAAAGAAACAAATCTGCAACCTTCGTCAAGTGCCTCACTGCATCCCAAATTTTAGATTAAGTGGAGACAATACATTAAAATTTATTTTGCAGCCACACAAGCTAGACACAGACGTTTAAACAAAAGGACATCTCAAATTCACCTGGCTCCAGGAGCAGAGGCTTAAAAGAAAGTAAGAACCTCTGAGGCATGGCTTGCAATAAAATCCAAAGTTTGCTACATACTTTATTTCAGCAATATCAAAAGCCTAACATTTTGTCAACTACCTAACAAAGTAAGAATTAGTAATTTCCCCCCCCCTCTCTGGGATAGAAATCATATTAAAAATAAATAACAAAGAGCAGCTACAATGTGTGCATCTATCAGCACCAACAAAAGTTGCCTCAGAGGGGTGCTGCAGGGCTTAAATTAATTAGCCTTTCTGAGGGAGTCTGTGATGCTTAAGTAATGGGCACTATACATCAGCTGCATAAATACATGTAGGTGTTGCCCTAGCTTCAGCAATATGCATGACACCACACACGGAGGAGGACTTGGGGGGGAAAAAAACCAAAACCAAACAAAATCCCAATCACTAAATATGACATATATGAAAGACAGTTTACCCCCACACCTTAAACACAATGTTATCATCACAGAATTCACAAATCACTGAAGAAAAGGGCAAATTTACTACCCACAGTATGGAGCAAATCAACATTTCCTAAAGAAAATAGATATCCCCCCCCCTCTCAAAAAAAAAAAGAAAATACAAAGTCGGCTAACCATGCAAGTGCCAGCCCACTCGGACACAGCAGCATTCATATGACAGACAGCTATTGAGGCTGACATTCTCTATCCGCATGTTTGTGCATAATGAGATGCAAGCAGCCGGGGCAGACACTGATTTATTGTAGTCCTCACAATAGCGCCAGTGATTAGCAGCTCATTTTGGGGTGGGTATAACTTACTGAGTTCCCTTTCTCTCCTGGCTACCCTTTGGGTCTGAATTTTCTTTAGTGCCTTCACGTCTCATTAAGAACCACTTTCATGTTGTCACCACCGGAGCCTACTTTATTCTGTATGGCCTGCTGCTGATTTAATGGTGCTGCTGGGGGAGCATCAGGCAAGCTCTGGTGAGTCACAGGGTGGCAGCTGAAGAAGCTATAGTCCAGGGCTGTCCATCCTGCCCCATCTTCAGCAGTCGGCCCTGCCCTCTCCCAAAAATTGAAGCCAAACACACCACATGCTCACTCCCCAGCTGCTGAATTTCACCTCCCAGCTTACTAACGAAACCTGAAATCAGTGACACCTCAATTCTGATTCACGGAGCTATGCGCTATGATAGCTGGAGAGTGGTCATACCTCTCTGTGCCTTTACCTCTCTGTCACGGGGACAGAAGACCCTGGTGCTAAGGCAGAGCCAGCAGCAGCGGTAGTGTCCTCTCCAGCTTCCTCCTCAAAGAAGCCCCAGAGATGGTGAATCAGACTACTCGTGGGCAGGCAGAGCAGGTTCCTAGGGTTTATTACTGCCATCTCAAGTGAATCACTTCCCCTCACCAAGAGCTGACTATTTAGTGATCACCTGGTTTTGTCAGAGATTGTCAGATGAAGTCAGATTTTGTGAAAGCCAAGGTGGGAGAGACATGGCTGAACAAGGCTATGAAGGAAAAACTGCCCAAAGAGTGCTGACTGATGATGATGTGCCCAGCATTAAAAACAATGAAAAACCACTTTCCTTTTGCTTTTGGAGGCACAGAAGGGAAGCCTTGGGTGTTTTTGTTTGTTTTTTTTTTTTTTTTTTTTTTTTACAGACCCATACAGCAGAAAGCAGACAGCAAATGCAAAACACTATTTTTTTCCTCCTGAAGGTCACCTTTACCACAGCCGTGGGATGTAAAATCTTCACCTAGTATTGTACCTGGAGATTATTTTGCTGGATGCATTTCCTATATGGAAATAGTGTTGTTATTAAAAATAAGAGGTTCATAAAGATCCCTAGCTCTAGAGTAAGCAAGATAAGTAACATCCACCTCTGCCATGACAAACTTGCAGAAGAAATCTGACACTCTATCTATATGCCATTAGGCCGTGCTTATAAAAAGAAACAAATCCAAACCTGTTTACTGAAAGTCACGAACATTGAAAGCAGAAGCCTCCTCAGGCCACACATTTTATATTTTTTCTATTCTGAAGAGGTAGAGACACTGAAAAAAACGCAGTCATAATGATTTATTTCAACTGGAAGTCAAACACATTGTCAATACTTCAAGGATCCCTCAAACTTTCCAAGTGCTTGATTTAGTGCCAGCATCAAATAGCACTTACTGTATGCTATCCTGCTTCAATAATTTAACTTACCACTATGTCTTTAATATTTTTAAGCTTTCCATTGCTGAATATTGTTGTATTTTGATATCAGAAAAAAAAAATTGCCTATTGATCTGTCATCTTTTTTTCATTCAGCAAAGCTTCATCTATCTGTGGTTCAGATACCTGCCCTATCTGTTACAGCAAGTGGCATCAATGCTGTGTCATCAACACTAGGCATTATCTCTGTCTCATTTAACTGCCTGGTGAACAGCAATTTGCAGTTACCCCACCATGCATTCAGAAAGTGACTTCACATTTTCAAGGAAAAGTGATAAAATGGGGTGATCATTCCATTTTTGTTGCACAGAGGTTGCTAGCATCCTCTAGCAGGGACAGATGTTGCCTGTTCTGATCTACACCTTACTCAGACTTTAAGTTTCTCTTTCCTGTTTTAGTTTGAAATTGGGAGGTTTTGGAAACTTTCAGAAAAATATACAAAACAAATCCCACAGGCTACAAGTGCATAATGCATTTCTTTGAAGTAGCTGTCTTCGTGGTTTAGCATACACAGCCTTTTCCAGGTGGGAGTCCTAGGGCTTGTATGCAACCCTGTTGTGCTGCTGCTTTTGATGTGATTCCCTGGGTAACCCACACTGAAGTAGTGATAAAGTTTATCCGCATTAAAAGACCATGGAAAAATCCACTGTAGTTTTTCCCCAGGTTAACAGGTCTGATCCTTATAGGTCAAGCAATAAAGTTTCACCACTGGACAGAAGAAACCAGGCTGGAAAAACGTATTAAACTCTTCATCCCTGCTTCAGCTGAAGCACAGGGGGGAAAAAAATAAAAAAAAGGAGTAACATTTGCACAGATAGAGCCATAAACATAATAATCAGTCTCATTTAGTCTTACATTTACTCTGGGGTTCAGTTGAAGTCTCAATGATAGGCAATTGATAGCTTCCACCGCACAAGCCAGAAGACCAAAAAAGCTGGCTAAGACTACAGGCAATCATGCCTTCTCTGGAATTTTGAATTTTAACTTGACCCAAGGCTTTTCCTTTCTTTTCCCTTCTTTCCCATCCCCAATAAAGAGAGCGACCATTCCACACTAGTAACATTCATATGCCGTTCAAAATCTTGTCCTGCTGTGCTTTGATGATTTCTCCCACGCACACACTTAAAATAGGGCTTATAGTCCTACTCTGCTTGATGGAGTATGCCACACAGTGAACTATCACAAAGTAAAAATGTTTTTTTGTCCACATGTAGAAACTATAAATAGGAAGCATCCCATTACTGGCTCATGAGCTGCTACCACACATCACGATCTACTGGCTTAGTAGAAGTCCACCTCATCTAACAACCCCTGAACTTGTAACATCTCTTAACTCCCTCTCTTTCTTATTTTGTCCCACACATAATAAATGCTACAGAAAATAATTTACTAGACACTGCTTAAAAAAAGGTGCAAAAAAGTGCTACGTTTCTTGTTAGGGATTAGCAGCTAGAAATCATTTGGGTAACAGCTCTTCTTTTTCAAGCTGGT